AATAAGTGCTATTGACCTACCTTCATCTATATCATTTGAACAAATTTCTGAAACTCAATCTCAAGATGCTGAACTTAAAAACCTGAAGTACTCAAACACAACTTCTTTGATATTCAAAAATATTTTACTTCCTAATGGCTCAGAGCTGTGTTGTGACACAAGTACTGGAAGGCTACGACCATTTATTCCTCAGCAGTTCAGAAAGCAGTTATTTGACTCCCTTCACAACCTGGCACATCCTGGAATCAAAGGATCTCTGGACCTTATTAAACAACGTTTTGTTTGGCCTTCCATGAATAAAGATGTCAGACTTTGGGCCAAAGCATGTGTAGCTTGCCAGAAATCAAAGGTTTGGAAACATATTACTTCTGAGATTGGAGCTTACAACAACATTAATGGACGTTTTTCTCACATTAATGTGGACATAGTTGGACCCTTGCCACCTTCTCAAGGATTTACGTACTTGCTAACTATCATAGACCGCTTTACACGATGGGTCGAGGCAACGCCTATCAAGGATATTACTGCTGGAACAGTTGCAGAAGCACTTCTTTCTACCTGGATTGCTAGATTTGGAGTTCCTCAAAACATTACTACAGATAGAGGAAGACAATTCGACTGCAATTTATTTCAGGAATTAACAAAACATCTCGGTATCCATCACATTAAAACTACAGCGTATCACCCTGAAGCTAATGGAAAGATCGAGAGATGGCACCGACATCTGAAATCTGCATTAACAGCTCAACTCACATCTAACTGGACACAGACGTTACCAATGGTTCTACTGGGACTAAGATCTTATATTATTCCAGAACACAATGTTACTGCTGCAGAAATGACACTAGGTCAGTCTATCAGACTGCAATGCGATCTTTTTCAAACCACAGAAGATACCTCAACAAATGTTCCTGATTTAGTGTACAATCTGAAAAAAAAAAATGAATGATCTCAAACCAATAGAAGCCAAATACCATTCTTCTAAGAAGGTCTTTGTTCATCCAGAATTAAGAACATCCAACCATGTTTTTGTTCGTCATGATTCATCCCGAAGACCGTTGCAAGCTGTTATAAAATGTAATATCCTACTATCCTACTAATATTATAAATGAGAAAGTTTGGATGTATGGATGTATGGATGTATGTTTGTGACAAGTGAACGCGAAAAATACTGGTCGGATTGGACTGAAATTTGGCATGATGATAGCTCACATTCCCGATTAACATATAGGCATATTCTTATTTCAAAAATCCTTTCGGGCTCCGCCTCAGTGGCTCTGGAGTTTCCCATGTTAACCTTATGAGAAATGGAATTATTGAATCTTAACAGCTGTTTCAATTCACCAAGTTGGTTCTGTTCTATGATGTTCAATAGCATTAAAGTTATAAGGATTACCAACAGGGTGCAGCACTATTATTTCTTTTACATTTATGACAACAGCTAATTTGCAACCAAAAGGTGAGTGAGCGTAGCAAACGAGCTCCAACCTAAAGGTGAGTGAGCGTAGGGAACAAACTTCAACCAGGACGTGATTGAGCCATGCGAACGAGATAATCTTGAAAATTAAGAAGTTAAACGGGGCAAAGCCCGCGGGTTACAGCTAGTTGGTATATAATTCAATATTATCCTCTTTGCAAAGATATGACTTGTATTTCAGATATATTGACAGATTTTTAATTATGATAATTTAAAGAAACATGAATGTAAACAGTGTGTGTTGAAAAAGAAATAGTAAATTTGTTCCAACTAACTTGAGACTGATTTTATTTAACTTTTTAGAAAATTGGCTCATATTTGGAGTCAGTTTACATTTTTGGCGACCCTTGGACAGGATTATTAGAAGAATAAATTATTTTTAAGTATTAATTATTGTATAAAACCTGAAGGTCAATTAATAAAAAATGGCAGATGACCTAATACGTTTAAACAGGAAAAGAAGACAGCTTCGGCGAAAATTTTTGAAAGCACATAGTAATTTTGAAAATGTTTTAAAAGAAGATTTGCCAAAAGAAGAACTCCTGGTAGCCATTGAAACACAATATTTAAGTATGGAGGTGACATGTGACAATCTCTTCACTATGGATGAACAGATACAAGACTTGATGCTAGGCGAGAACACTTCTGACGCTGACCTGGACGCAGAGTACGACGCTTCGTTAGAGTTTCGAGACAAGTGGTTCAACATGAAGGCCCAATACAAAAACCTGGTAAAAACCTCTCCCTGCAGCGACCGAGGTGTGTTGAACCCCTCTAAACATGAAACCAAAATTCGTTTACCAAAAATTGAACTAAAGAAATTTGACGGACAGTTCAAAAATTGGATTGGATTTTGGTCACAGTTTTCGAAAATCCATAATGATCAGAGTCTGCATGATGAGGATAAATTTGAATATTTAATTCAATCAATGACACCAGGTTCCGCGCCTCTAAAACTGATCGAGGGTTTTCCTTTGTCTCAGGAAAACTATTATAAAGCAATCGAGCTCTTGAAATCTCGATTTGGCAAAGACGAATTACTAATCGAGTATTATGTAAGGGAGCTGTTGACCTTAGTGTTAAGTAAAAGTAGCCAGGTCTCTGTCACTAACCTCTATGATAGACTTGAAGTGCAGCTGCGGGCTCTTGAAACTTTGGGCGTCACTAAGGAAAAATATGCCGCTATGTTATTCCCTCTTGTCGAAACTTCAATACCAGAGAATATTTTTAAAGTTTGGGAAAGGTATCGAGTAGGCAAAAATGTGACCACAATGGAGCCTGATAATTGCTTACGAGAGCTATTGTTGTTCCTAGAGACGGAAGTCGAGGCAGAAGAGAGATTTAAGTTGAGAGAAGGATGTTTTGGGGTAGTTAGTAGTGAAAATTACAAGTTAAATGAAGATTCACAGAAACAACAACGAACTAGTAAGCCTAAGACACCTTCAGCAGCAGTCCTTGTATCGTCTGATGGACATCAGGATCCTAAAATGAGCACAGGTATGTACCCTAATAAGAATCTTTGCGCATTTTGTGGAAAATCAACTCACAATTCATCTGATTGTTTTTCCATCTTTGATAAGACAACCTCAGAAAGAACCGAGATTGCAAAGAAAAAGGGGTTGTGTCTTAAATGTTTGAAGAAGGGACACTTAGCAAGTAAGTGCAGGATTCAGGTAAAATGTCACATCTGTATGGGTAAACATCTGGCAATCTTATGTCAAAAGATCCCTACCACTAATGAATCCAAGCCGAGTGGTGAGGACAAGTCAAAACAAACTCCGGTTCAAAGTACTAGTTCATTTTCGACTTTGAACAACAAAAGTAAAACTACCTATTTACAAACTTTGTATGCCTTTGTTAATGTAAATGGAGAACCGAAAAGGGTTAGAATCTTATGTGACTCAGGTTCACAGAAAAGCTTTATTTCTAGTCTTTGTGTATCTAAATTGAGTCTCTCAAGCAATGGTAAGGTTCTGATCCAGCAAGAAGTCTTTGGAGGTAAACAATCCGGTCCTAAATATCATAACACCTATGAATTAAATTTTAGCTCAATAAATGAGAACTTTCGGACAAGTGTCAACGTTGTAGAACAACATGTTATATGTAATCATGTTCCTAAGTTTTGTGATTACAGCTTGATCACTCGTTTAGAGAAAGAAAACATATTTTTGACTGATGTTTCTTCTTGTGACGGCGATGACTTCACTGGTATTGATGTCTTATTAGGAGCTGACGTTTGGACACAGATAATCACTCCAGAGTTTCATAAGGTAAATGAGCAACTTGTAGCTGTAAAAACTCGATTGGGCTGGACAATTGTTGGCACGTCTGACGAGGAATCTTCTTTTGTCTCCTCCATGTTTGTGGCTTTCCAATCTTCACAAGATATTAGGCAATTTTGGGAACTAGAGACAATGGGTATAATGGATCCGAGTGTCCAGCAACAGAAAGAGGAGAGAGATATAGATGTTTTAGCGTTCTTCGAAGACACTGTCACCAGAGATGTGGATGGACGCTACGAGGTAAAACTACCTTGGATTGAAGACCACCCCCCTCTGGATACGAACCGTGAAGTAGCCAAAAAACGTCTGTTGTCAACAACACGTAAGTTGAAACAGTGCAATATGTATCTTGATTATGATTTAGTATTGAACGATTGGTTGACCAAAGGCATCATTGAGCGAGTGACGGATGAAAACATTTCACAGCCATTGAAAAGTCACTATTTACCACACCGGGCTGTTGTCAAGGAGGGAAGCACCACGAGGATCAGACCTGTCTTTGACGCTTCCGCTAAAGACATAAATGGATAGTCTGTTAATGGATGTCTTGAGTCTGGACCTAACTTGATAGAGTTAATACCTAAGGTACTGACTAATTTTAGGTTACATGCATTTGCTTTAACGGCAGATATTGAAAAGGCTTTTCTACAAATTAGAATTGACCATGATGATCGAGACATGTTACGATTTTTGTGGTGGGAAGACAATCATGTGATCGTTTACCGCCATGCTAGAGTTGTCTTCGGTTTGTCGTGTAGTCCTTTTCTTTTGGGAGCAGTATTATATAATCTTCTGGAAAACGCTCCTACCAATCTTAGACATGTAGCCAAGGCTTTGCTAAAAACTTTTTATGTTGACAATTGCCTTACGGGAGTTAACAGTATTTCTGAGCAAGAGAATTTCATAAATGATGCTCAAACACTTTTAAAGCTAGGAGGCTTTAACCTAAGGGGTTGGGCTGGTAACGGTTACTTTAAAACTCCTGAACAAGTTGAGAACGTCTTAGGACTTAGATGGTTATGCTCTAAAGATGAACTGTACTGTAATGTTCAACCTTTGAATATCAAGGACTCAGTACTTACCAGAAGGACATTGCTATCATGTGCTCAAAAGGTTTTCGATCCTATTGGTTTTACTGCTCCGGTTGGACTGATTCCCAAAATTATTTTGCAAACGACTTGGACGTTGAAGGTAGGTTGGGATGAAGAACTACCTCAAAACCTACAGGTACAGTTTCAAAAATGGGTCGAGGAACTAGGCTGTCTGGAAAGGTGTGTATTGAGTAGGAGAATATTTTTGAATGCTTCAAGTACAGTACATGTTTTTTGTGATGCCAGTAAATCTGCTTTTGGATGTTGTATATTCTTAAGAACCGAAGTAGATGGTATCATTGACATAAATCTTATATTAGCCAAATCACGAGTTGCACCAATCAAACCAATTACTTTACCTCGTCTTGAGTTAATGGGTGCAATTACTGGTGTGAGACTCTCATGTCTAGCTTTACAGTGTCTCAACAACCCCAAAGTCCCAGTTTATTATTGGCTGGACTCCACCGTAGTTCTAGCATGGATTGCAAAGCAAGGGAAGTGGTCTGTTTTTGTTGAAAACCGAGTGAAAGAAATTAACAGATTGACCCAACTTTCACAGTGGAGACATGTTTCAGGACCTGACAATCCTGCTGGCATTCTTTCCAGGGGATGCACTCCTAAAAAAATTACTCAATTCTCAATGGTGGCTTGGCCCTCAATGGCTATATGCTTCTCCTGATAAATGGCCAGCAGAACGCCCATCACCTGATCCAGAAGAGCTTAAGGAAGAACTTCGTAAATCTGTCGTCACTGCTAGTTCTGTTGAGCCAATATCAATCGCTCAAATGTTAGGAAATAGATTTTCCAAGTATACTAAGATAGTAAGAACTGTAGCGTGGATCTTGAGAATGTCTCCCAAGAATAAATTGAACTTGGGAAATAACATCAGTTCTGAAGAATTCTTGAATGCAGAAAAGATTGTATTTAAATTGATTCAAAGAGAGAGCTTTCCTGAAGGTCTAAAATCTCAAGAGCTAAGTGGTGTACAAAAATTCGTGGATGAAGATGGCGTCATAAGAATGAAAACCAGAGTATCAGATCGGGAGGAAGGTGTTGAATACCAGTACCCTGCCATTCTACCTAGCAAACACCCTGCTGTTGAGAAAATGATCAGGCAGTACCATTTACAGAATAAACATGCAGGAGTACAAGCATTGATTGTCATCCTTCGTGACAGAGTGTGGATCCTGAAAGGCAGAAGGGCTGTTGGAAAGGTAGTTCACATCTGTGTTCGATGCAAGCGACACATAGCAAAAGCCTTAGAGATGCCATCACCTCCCTTACCCACAGACCGCACTCAGATTTCTTCATGTTTTCAAGCATGTGGGATTGACTTGGCTGGTCCATTGATCACTAGAGATAATCAGAAGTGTTGGGTGGTAATATTTACATGTGCCGTGTATCGTGCAGTCCACTTAGAAGTCATCCAATCCCTCAACACAGAAGCCTTCATAAGAGCCTTACGACGGTTTATAGCTAGACGAGGCCGGATAAGTGTTATCTATTCAGATAATGGCACGAATTTTGTTAGTTTAAACAAGAATCTAAAGTCTCTGAACTGGACTGAAATCCAAAATACATTCAGCCTCAATGCTATTGTGTGGAAGTTCATTCCCCCTGCAAGTCCTTGGTAGGGAGGATTTTGGGAAAGACTGATAAGGATCCTAAAAGGACTCCTCCGGAGGAATTTGGGAAATTCGTCTCTCACATACGAAGAAATAAACACCCTAGTATGTGAATGTGAGGGAATAATGAACAGAAGACCACTAACATACGTCTCAGAGGAGACGGGAGACTTAAGACCTCTGACTCCATTTTTGTTTCTACAAAGCATTGTGGGAAATGAAGTCACGAACTTGGACATCCTAGAGAGAACCAGTTTGAAAACAAGATGGAGATATATTCAAAGTCTAAGAGACAATATGAACTCCCGTTTCAAAAAGGAGTATTTGGGGTTCCTGAAATCGTCCAACAAGTTAAAATCCGACGATATTAAAGTTGGAGACGTGGTATTGGTTCAAATTGAAGACAGAAGAAGAATTACTTGGCCTTTGGGTATTGTAATAAAACTGTTCCCAGGGAAAGACGGCAAAGTTCGGTTGGTACAAGTAAAAACTAAAAAGGGTTTAATACTAAGACCCATACAACGACTGTACCCACTGGAAGTTACCGGAGAAGGACTGAATGAAGACTTCTTATTTTGCGATCTCGCAAAAAAAGGGGGAGTGTGTTATAAAATGTAATATTGGTATATAATTCAATATTATCCTCTTTGCAAAGATATGACTTGTATTTCAGATATATTAACAGATGTTTAATTATGATAATTTAAAGAAACATGAATGTACTACAGTACAGTACAGTACAGTACTACAGTACATACATTCATGAATGTAGGAACAAGTGGTTTACTATTCTTACTCCACGAGGACCTACGTCGATTTCTATTGACCGACTCAAACCGGCATTCCTCCTTCAAGATGCTATGAGCGATACGACCATTAACGTAAGAAAAAATGACATGCAACCTAGAGAAACTCAAGTAGACAAGACCAAAGAAAGAAATTAAGATGTTGACCTTAAAAAAACACTGATTTTTACAAGATCAGGTCGTAGTGTTCATCCCCCGCATCGTTATGTTCCTCGATGACACTGGGAGGGGAGTATGTGGCTACATGGCTTTGCCATTAATTTGAATCTGCTAATTACTGTCTCAACTATACTTTGAACGTTAAAAATTATCATATGATCAGCTGACTGTTTGTAAACTTTATATTTGATTTTATTGTAGTTTTTTTCTTAATACAGAAGTGTTTCAATGTTATAATCTCTTCTTTTAATTAACTTATTTTGTGTTAGTATATTTATATAAGGCACAAGCCTTATTATATTTTGGTTTAGGTAGCCAGCTGATTATAATGCCCGACTTCAAAGCTGCCTAGCATTAGTTCGATGCCTACATAAAGCGGTTCTAGAACCAAATTACTTCTAATTTAATTACCAATAAATAAAGCTAACTAACAATAAGGGAAAGTTAAGATAAATTAAATAAACCTTACAAAACAAAACGTAAAATTTAAATTCAAATAAACACAAACTTCTCCATTTTCACCTCACGCTGTAAATAAAACATGTGATTAGAATTTCTTCCATTTTTTGATTTATTTATTAATTTTTTTGTGCTTATTTTGAGCCTATTTTAATATATAAAGGGAGTCTGCACATCGACAGGAAAATATCTTTCATTTGGTACCAACCGCATCTGCGTATAGTTCGGTCCAGTAGTATGGTCAGGCTCTCTGTCATATGTTTTGTGAAAGTTTATTTAGTATATCAGATGTAATAACAAAATCTGTAGATATGTCTTTGAGCCATGAGGGTATCCAAATAATAAACTACTACACGAACATTTACAAGTATAATGGTTGTAGGAAGCCTGATTCATTATGGCATTGTCGTGGACAGCTGCCTCTCAGAAGTAATCTACAACATCCTCCCACTTACCTTCAGAGTCAGTATAAATCACATTGTTAGTGACCTCTCTTATGTCGCTTACACCGATGTCACCTGAGTAAGTGACACTAGCGTATAACAACATCCTCCCACTTACCTTCAGAGTCAGTATAAATCACATTGTTAGTGACCTCTCTTATGTCGCTTACACCGATGTCACCTGAGTAAGTGACACTAGCGTATAACAACATCCTCCCACTTACCTTCAGAGTCAGTATAAATCACATTGTTAGTGACCTCTCTTATGTCGCTTACACCGATGTCACCTGAGTAAGTGACACTAGCGTATAACAACATCCTCCCACTTACCTTCAGAGTCAGTATAAATCACATTGTTAGTGACCTCTCTTATGTCGCTTACACCGATGTCACCTGAGTAAGTGACACTAGGGTATAACAACATCCTCCCACTTACCTTCAGAGTCAGTATAAATCACATTGTTAGTGACCTCTCTTATGTCGCTTACACCGATGTCACCTGAGTAAGTGACACTAGCGTATAACAACATCCTCCCACTTACCTTCAGAGTCAGTATAAATCACATTGTTAGTGACCTCTCTTATGTCGCTTACACCGATGTCACCTGAGTAAGTGACACTAGCGTATAACAACATCCTCCCACTTACCTTCAGAGTCAGTATAAATCACATTGTTAGTGACCTCTCTTATGTCGCTTACACCGATGTCACCTGAGTAAGTGACACTAGCGTATAACAACATCCTCCCACTTACCTTCAGAGTCAGTATAAATCACATTGTTAGTGACCTCTCTTATGTCGCTTACACCGATGTCACCTGAGTAAGTGACACTAGCGTATAACAACATCCTCCCACTTACCTTCAGAGTCAGTATAAATCACTTTGTTAGTGACCTCTCTTATGTCGCTTACACCGATGTCACCTGAGTAAGTGACACTAGGGTATAAAAAATATACAGACTTTCCCAAAAGTCCCGGACCGGTTTAATATTTTCTAAACGACAACAGATAAATCAATAAGATTTTGCACATCAACACCACACTTAAAACCTACTTTTTTAAGGAACTATCAATTTTCTGTCATATCATGGGGACGTCCCGCAAGGAGTCAGAAGGAAATCTTAAATTGAAGCATAGGTTGACATGCACATCAAATTAAAGACCTTAACTAGTAGATTACAATGCCGTAAATTCAAGCTCAAAAGAACGCCTGAGTAAAAAATGACAGACGTTCAAAGATTTCTTGAACCTGCCATTTTGAATCTTTGAACGACTGCCATTTTTTACTCAGGCGTTCTTTTGAGCTATAATTTACGGCATTGTAATCTACTAGTGAAGACCTTTAATTTGATGTGCATGTCAACCTATGCTTCTATTTAAGATTTCCTTCCGTGATGTGACAGAAAATTGATATTTCCTTAAAAAAAGTAGATTTTTAGGTGTGGTGTTGATGTACCAAATCTTATTGAATTATCTGTTTTCGTTTAGAAAATATTAAACCGGTCCGGAACTTTTGGGACAGTCTGTATAAGTGACTTTGAAGGAAGTATTTTGTGCTTTAGTAGGTATTAACATTATGTGAGTGAAAACCAAAATATCGATTGTAAATGTATATTTTAAATACTTGTTAACGTCATAAATTCAACGATTCTGGCTATACTTGAGAAAATATAGGATATTTTAAGTATATAGAATTAAAAATCTATCCATCGGGATAAATGTCTACATAAGTAAAAGTATGTGTAATGTTTTCCTGCCCGTATTTATAGTTTTTGAGATTCGGTTGGTTTTCAGGGCAGTGCCAACGTAAAGAGGAATGACTTATTTAGAACCCCGCAGTCAGTGAAGTGGCCAATAGTGATGTTTAAAAATTGAAGAAGATTTAGGTTTACGATCGAAAAGGTAGGGAGCCAAACGCATCGCATTTCCCCCTTCGACAGTGTTTTATAACATTACTTACTGCAAAAGGTAGAAATTTTAATACTAAAAAACTAAAAAAATATAGCTTTTAAAAGACACACCAAGGACGAGAAACAAATGACAATAAATATGTTGTTTGGGAAACAACGAAATTAATGTAGAAAGAGTCATAATGTGTTAAGAGTGTTAAGACATTTCCTCAACATAAATAAGTTTATAAATATATTAATACATTTATAGTATACATTTTACCATACTTAGTGCTAGAAGTAACCAGAGTAGGTACTGTAGTGTTGAGGGGTCACTCAACACAGGTTGCTAATTAGAAAAATAAGTCAACCCCTACCCATACCATTTTAGGGGGGTAACAAATATTTTTATGTGAAAAATCCCGGAACCTTTTTTAACCATCAATGCCAAAAACAGAATATTTCTATCTATTTCGGTGAAAAAATACAGACTTGTTTCATTTGTGAAATTTGCACTTTTTCACATACCTAAAATCTAATTTTGGAATACCTGCCATTTTGGCTAGGGGTGAGATATCTACCTCGGGTTTGCGTCGCTTTATTTCTTTATACAAACCCTTCAAAATGAAGAGTCACTTAATAGTGGTAGCTTTTTGAAAATAATAAAACACCTCATATCCTGATCAAATATTTTAAATGTTAACATTTGTTAACAGTTAATACAATGAACAGAATATTTCTACCTATTTCGGTTTTTAAAAATACAGATTTGTTTCCATACTTAATTTACACACTGTATAATAAACATATTCTGCAACTGTTTTAAATAAAACCTTGATACTTATATTCATTACAGTAATTTAATTTGTTAAAAAGCTTTTTGTACATTTAAAACCAATACACATATATAGTTATCGTATCTCGTATCTTATTGCTAAGGATTACAAATATAAAATAAAAACAGATTTGTGATCTATATTGATTAAACATATTTTGTGTCATGATACATGTGTCTATAATATGCTATTTGGATTCTTTTGAGAATATTACCGATTCAAACATTGGCAAAATAGGTTATTTCGTAATTTAAATTTGTCACTTAAGATTTATTTGTTTATTGTTTATAGAATCTAATTGTTCATAAAACTACTGTGTGTTGTAGTACTTATAGTACTGTTATAGTACTTGTAGTACTTGTGTGTATTGTAGAATTGCGTGTGTAAACTGTAAATATTTGATCAAATTAACTAAACTTACCAAATTTTAATCAAGCAACAAGGATTTTAAATCAGCGATTCAGTTGTTTGTTAATTTATTGCTGGAAATTAAATTCAGATTAGATTAAATAAGTTTGGAGATAGCTGGAGAATTCAATGACCAGTGTTTTCATTACAGGAGAGAAAAAACGTAACTTTAATGCACTTCTTCTTAGTCGTAAGTAATTAACTTATCATCTCGACCTCCTCATAAAATTGTAATAAATTAAGTTCAGTCAAAAATAGGCCTTTAAAGTATTTTAGACAATCTTATTTCCAGCTTACTTTTTTACTTTCTGTACGACAAATCAGTGAAGACAAAATATGTATTGTAAAAGAAGTCTCTAGACCCCAAAATGTAATATGATTTTTTTATGAAATTATATAAACTTACTTGAAAATATCTTGTAAATATCGTACTCGTGAATATCGTATTAGTTTATACGTACATAGGTACTACTTCCATATTACCTAGTATCAAATCTAATAATTGGTAAATAGATTTTACTGGGTGTTATTTATGACTTGAGACATTTTATTATCCATTTTAACAATAAACCCGTTCGTAAATAGCACCAAGTATGTATTCATCACTTGCCCGGGTTATCATTGGTATCACATAATGTATAGTGTTCTCTCATCGACATTGCCAGTTCAGCTTTAATGGTTGTAAGAGACAACTGCTGTTCATCACGGTCAGACAATCTCCTCTGGTTGTCTACATTAAATACGGCTTTGTTGCCCTTGAACAGACAACACCGGTGTTTGATAAATGCTAACGCAATAATAGAATAAAACTTTTATTTGTAAGTGGTTAGAAACTTAAACTGCTGGTGAAACAACAATGTTGTATGGACGTTTGAACAATATATATTAATATTAATACAACATTCAATACATCTTTCTTCATTCTGGCTGTCGCCAAACGCTCA